AACCGGTTCGATTCACCACGACCGCGAGGCGTACTGCCGTCGCTGGGCCCAAATTTGGAGCAGGTCGGGCCAGAGGGTCTACGGGCAACGCCCCCGGGTGAACCAACGGTGCATGATTATTCACCGAAACTCCCGCTAGATATGAAAGACGATGATGCGCGATTAAACGTGATAGTGAGCACTGAAGAAGGATTGACAGCGGCTGATACAGCAGCCATCCAGGACTTCAACCGTATGTGCCGGGATCTTTATAGAATCCATATGCGAGTTGAGGACGAACATGCATTCTATGGAAGATTAATGAGCCTGGATGCAATCATCGAAGCAGTCCACACCGCGATGAAGGAAAAGACTAAAAGCATCGAAGTGAAACGTAAAGAGTTGGCGATCAGAATCGCCTCGATGAAACAGTACCATCCGGCTCTAACCAACAGAAAATGGCCGCCGATGATCGAGAAGTTACAGATATTCCTTAAGACGATCCCCAAAGAAAGGGGACCCTCAGTAAGCAGTGCGGCAGGGCCATCACGAGCATCAGTCGAAGCACCGGTAGAGGAGATGTCGGATAGTGCTCTCATGGAAACAAAGAGAAAGATTGAGATAGAATTAACCGAACGAGCGGAAAGGTCACGGGCTAGTTCCACCGCAGGATCAATACGTGGACGTACCAGTTCGGTCACAGAGCCGTCTAGCGGGACCGTAAAAAGCGGAAAAAGAGTAAGGTCACCGACAACAAGTCCAAAAGAAAGCGACAAGAAGGAGCAGCGGACGAAAAAGGTCACGACGAGTAAAGCCCCGACTTCAGTGGGTAGAAAGAGTGCACCACCCACACCGTTGGATCCGGAAGCTGCTTCAGTTCGATTTCCGAAGTGCCGGACCTTTACAGTTAAATATACTGGTACTGACCATAACGAACGAAAGGTCACCGCTCGGATAGTCGATAAAGCAACGAATAAAGAGATCGACTCGTACAACCCTTTAGCGGATAAATCAGTTAAAACTGAGATTGGGGAAAGGTCAAAGACAGAAGTCAATGAGGCATTACAGTTCATTCCCCCGGAAGAACGTCATAACCCGAGAGTCCTCATTCAGATGATGAAACATGTAGTGTCCAAAGTCGCGACCGAAGAAAACGCATACATCCGCATTAAAGTGGGCACAAATGAGGACCACCTGGCATATACATACACAGTGGAAGGGAAGTTGCTGACGAAGGAGAGAATTCGGCCGAAACCGACAGCAGACTCAGACCCGAATAAACGAACACTAGACGATTACGAGTCAACCCTGAAATATACCGAGGGGACGTGCAGAAAAGTGACGCTGACACTCCACTTCGGCGATGGAACAACAGAATGTGTAACCGCAGTAATCGTCGACCCGATCACAGGAGATCCGATTCCATACGCTCCATGGGATGTGTCGGAAGAGAGCGCCGAGCACGCTAATCGGGCAGCACTGGAACAGCTGTGGAACTTGATACCAGTAAGTGAACGTCAAGATCCCCTAGTCCAAGCGAACACATTGATCAGTATGATGCGACATCGAGCGGAAATAGATGAAGCCCATTTCCGACTAACAAGAAGAATGGAAAATGGAGCGTATAAAACGGTGTTTTATGACGCGAAGAAAAACCCTTTGTGGGAGATCGTCACACAGGGACAGACGGTCGAAACACCGCACTTGGAAAGTCAAGTCCAACACCCGGCACAAGAAAGTGGAGCCGGAGAGGTGGCAGAGGCTCCTGTAGCCGAAGCGGCATCAACGGGGAGTACCCGGCGACCACCGAAACAGGATGATTCAGACGAGGAGGAAGCTGGTGACGACTCGGCAGAAGAACCGGCCAACGAAGATCAGGAACTGGATGAGGAAGATAATCAGCCCCCTAAAGTGGTCGTTAAACCCAGGAAAGCGGCTAAACTAGAAGAAGCCATGAACCGCGAGAAGGTCAAGAAAGGTGATGGTCTAACGAAACGTAAGGAAGACGAAGATAAGAAGAAAAGGAGCGGCGATGAAAGTGAAAGCCGAAGGAAAAAGAAGGAGGAGAGAAAGAAGAAAGACGAACCGTCGTCTCATGATGTTGAAATATTGGACGAATCGGTCGGTGAAGTGGAAGAAGGGTCATCCGCACCTATTATTCCAAAGAGATTCGTTATCGAATCGGCAACATCAAAGTTAAAGGTCACCGAGCCCGAGCCGTCAACATCTAAAGGAAAGGTCATAGCTGTGAAACAGATTGTCCCAGTGGTTATCTCGGCATCTACTACGAAAGAGCGCAAGGAGAAAGGGATGCGAGAGAAGGCAAAACGAGAAACGTCTCGTGAATCGGAAGCATCGGGAGTAAGCCTTCCAAGTACTTCGACGGTTAGCACGAGATCACATACGGACCCGAAAACGACTAGATCAAGAACTGCAGAACCAGGAAGCCTAGCGGAGGCTCTTGAAAAAGGGAAAAAAGCAAAGAGCGAACCCGCAAAGCTGAAAAAGAAAGGAAAGGAGGCCATGAAAATCGACGAACTGGTAATGACCACTTACATTGAACCGGACGGTGACAGTGAACTTGATTACTCGGGAGATGAAGCGGAATTTGAAGACCCCGATAGCGATAACTTGACCACGATCGACGAAATTATTGACGCGTTCAACGGAGCTGAGAAGAACTTTACACGAATCAGAACCACATCAGTAACGTCTAGATTTAGAACGGGCTTAAAGAAATATCTGAGGAAGGAAAAGCACCGTAGTTTTACCAAACAGAAGTTTGATGTGGTGTTGGAATATGCTCGGAATGCGGGAAAACTCCTCCAGAAACATCCGAATTTCGCGTATAAGGCCAAGTTATTCAGACCGTCCAGTTCGGATAAGTCGTTGACGACTCCAAACGAAGATACCTCTATGCGAGTAGAAAGGGCAATCGCGGGAATGACAAGCCCGTTGGGGTCAACGAGTCACCGGATTAGCCAATACATCAATGCCGTTTGGAATGACGGGAAAGGGATGATCAAAGAAATTGATACGGCCACTGAACGCGTATTACCAAGGCTGATAAAACAGAATATCCTTTCGACAACGAACGCACATAAAGGATATCCGATTCGATATACGAGAGTAGGACTAATACCGCCGGAAAAACAAGTCCACTGTCATATGTCCGACAGCCAGGAGACGGATAAGGTGCCATTGAGTGGAGACCCGACAACTCCCATACTAAATCGGATCGCACAGTTAACAGCTGAAGAAGAAGCTACCCAGGCTTCTTCTAAGAAAGTGACGAAAAAGAAAGGACCAATGGACTCGGACTCGGAAGAAAATGAAGATGACATTACGACACAAACGCTTCTCGAACCATCGACAGCGCAAGATAAACAGTCTAAAGGTCAAGAGACACCGGGAACTGGAACTGTGACGGAAGAAACTCAACCGAAAGGTCATGGGACTTCTGAAAAACGGGAGAAAGAAAAGGCCATGCCCCCGATGGACAAGGCAGCTGCAGAAGCAGAGGCGGCCTCTGCGCGACAGGTGTATCAGAAATCATTGTTCGCACCATTGAAAGAGGCTTTTGAGAAAGAGCGGTCGAAGTCGGCAGGTGAAGTGGGAGGTCATGAGACTTTACCACAGAAAGATAAAGCTGACGAACCGAAATCCGCGCAGTTATCATCTGGCTCAATGGCAAAACTGAAGATTGACGAAACGGAGACAACAGACCCGACGGACTCGGCAATATCCCCCCAGAAAACGGCGACTAGCGGTACAAAAACGAAAGAGCCGACAGATTATACGTTAGGCGCACCGTTGGATGTTACTAACCGGACATGGAGCGAAGTCCAAGCGGCGCTTCAGAACAGTGGAGATGGCGAAATGCTTGGCCCAGACTTGAAGAGACGGGTCGCGGAAAACTCGAACGGGAGGTCATCACTCAGTATGACCGAGCGAGTCCTCAAACGAGCATACAAGGAAGGAAGACTGGGATGTAAATACGACAAAGACAACAAGATTATTTACTACCTTCCGAAACAGGGACAGGACCGCACGCCCAGACTGAAAATGGAATTGGAGGCATGGAAGATAGCCATCACAGATGTGGCTTTAGACGCCATTGGCGGTACCAATGGAGTGTTATGGAATGACCTTTCGAACTTCATGGCCGTCCATTACGAATTGGGAGAATTGAACATTGAAGATGATAAAGAATGGATCAAGAATGCCGTTGAAGCATTGATTGCAGATGAAGTGCTTCATATTAACCAGGACGGCCGAATTGACTTCAAGCCGTATAAACCGTCGGCGAAGGAGCCTGAGTGAATGGAACGAGTGTAATATGCAGCGAGTAATGAACCCTGCATATTACAGAAAAGCATAAAATAGTTAAAAACGAATGGGAAAAACTTTATGGAAAATTGAAAGTGAAGAGGTTAACGCGAGAATTAGCAGCGATAAGACTAATAGAAAAGGTCACAGTAGTCAGAAAGTGCTGATAACGTTGAGAAAGGTCACCACGTTACAGTGATAGAAAGGGCAGCAGGAGCTAGGAAAGTCTCAGCTCAGTAGTGGAATAGGCGTAAAAATGCTAGAGAAGCCTTGATAATGGATAAGATGGAAACGATTAACGTGGAAAGGTTATTATGACGGATTGTTTTCTGATTGCAGATTTAAAACGGAGAAGATGGCACAGAAAGGTCAAGCCACTCCTAAAAGCTCAGGAACGGCATCGGAGATAAACAGATCTACGGGCTATAACCCAAAGTGTCCGGACTGTTTACGGAATAATAAAAAGGTCGATAAGAAATTCCCCTGCTATGCATGCATTCACAAGTTGGGCGACCCACATATCGTTTCACTCGTGGGGATTACGGAAGCTAAACGGGGAACATGGACGTTTTCGAAACCTCATCAGCGCGAGGAACTATGGCAGCATCCCAGTTGAGGAGCGGATGCTACTCGAGGATCGCTACCGGGAAGCGATCCAGAATAACGAAAAGCGGCTGGGATGAGACTCTGGAGCCATTGAAATGCCCACAGACGGACGCATACCGGAAGAAGTTTGAGGAAGAACAAGAGAAGATGCGGCGGCAACAGCTGGAGGACGAACTCCGGGCGAAGATCAATGCGGCGAATCAAAAGGCGAGCGAACAGGCCGCACGAGAGACGCAGCCCAATCCGTCGAGTTCGACTGTACCGACAGCCAGCCTCAATGACGACGAAGCACAGCTGATACGCCAGTCGCTCATTATTCAAATCGATACGCTGACGAGCGATCCGGCGGCCATGCAACAAGACCTATTTGATGCGCTGTTACGGGAAAAGTTAAGACTGCAAAAGGGTTTTGCTCCGGCACCATACATATAGAAAGCAGTCGAAGAACGTATGGAGGAGCTGCGTAAATCCCGCCAGACCGAGAGCAATGTTTTACAGGCGCTCAGAGGCTTTCGACGAGACGATGTGTTTACTCGACCCCGTTCGCCTCTGCAGAGAGAAAGGTCACGCGGACATTCACGGGAACATGAGCGGACTTCTGAAAGACGAAGTGAAAGGTCACGTGAACATTCCCGGGAAAGGACACGGGATTACCGAAGCGAAAGGTCACGCGAGCGTTCTCGCGACAGAGACTACCGTGGCGGAAGAGGATGGGTACGCCATGGAAATGAGATAACGGAGACAAGCATCCAACGAAAAATCGACACGGCAAAGATTCTAGCAGCGACTAGAGGACGTGAAGAGCAACGGCGTGCGGAGTCATACCGTACAGAGCCTGAAAAGAAAGGTCATCAGGTGCCGTTGGAAGTTGGATTCCGTAACCGCAACGTCAGGATGTCAACACCCGAAAGGTCATGGGACAAAAGACGCGAACATACGCGAAATCGAACGCCAGACCCACAGGATAGACGATGGCAGGAAAGAGCCAAGTATTACGCGGGTTTTGAATCTGGCGCGAGCAAAAGGTCATCGAGCGCGGAACGGGACGATTCGCCCCCGAAATATCAAAGGATGGAATCAACGGTCCACGTGGTGGATCCAACCCTTAGCACCGCACAACATGACGACCCGATGGAAGGACCGAGTTCAATTACAGAAGCGTCCCAAGCAAATGTGACACACCGACGAAACATTATTCTGGACAGCGACCTTCAACCGCCTACACCGGCGAGTAATGAACCGCCGCAGGCAGAATCAGGAGAACGAAGCGCACAAGAAAGTCAGCGCGAACCGGACGAACGTCGCGAAGTCGATCGGCGAACGACTTCCCGATTCAATAACCGACACCCCGATACAATTGATATGGTATATGATATGCGCGACACTGATGAACAAAAGACGGAAATCTGCCGATACATGGGGATTGAAGACGATTCGGCGGATGCGAATAAGATCCATACAATTCTGAACCAGCTGCGTCAATTTTTATTCGACTCGGGCTATGCGAAAGAAATTAAAGAGGGAGTGGAACAAGGAAGTTTCCGTCAATTATACATTCCCCGCGACTCAGCAAGGGATTGTTACCTCCCTATCCGACGAAACGGATTACATAGCCTGTTGGATCTGAATTTGTTGGACGTGCCACTGGATACGACTGACCCAATCGGGATGACACAATTCTGTTACAGAGATTATCCCGAACGACAAGAATATGTCGCTCAGTTTGTATTACGACACGTGAATCCAGCCTTCAAGTTGCTTGCAGCAAGAGCATCGATCGGGTTACAAGTGGATCCTAAAGATCATGCCGCAAGAAGGATGGGGCAAAAGGTTTTCGCTGCAAGATTGGCACATTATAAGACCCATAACCAATTGGTGTCCAATACCATGAAGGACGACATCCCACTACTCTTCCGACCTCACGTGGCGAAATTGGGCGAACCCATGGAACATGTTGGAATAGCCCATACGGCAAGAAAGGCGTTGAAAAAGTGCAAGATACGTATGGAAAAGGGCAATCTTACACAACGCCATGCCTCCCAGGTAGAAGAGAGGGTTAATAAGATCAAAGACACCATGGGAAGTGACTACGTCGACCCCTTCGACGGAGTTGAAATGTATATCGACGAATTCCTTGTGAAGAAAAGCGATCGGCGCCCAGAACGCGCCCCTAACCAGCTTGGACGACGTGGTCTGCGGAACCAGCAGCTCCGGGAAAATCTCGCCGATGTACAGCGTCGACTAGCAGATGACCCCGACAATCGAAGACTGCGACTGGAAGAAAATGACGCACGCCATCGGGTAGAGGCGGTTAAACGCAGTCGCCAAGGGAAAGGTCGCGGTCAGCGAGAAGTTGATCCGGAAAAGGTCATGGCAGTTGATTCCACGGAACCAGTTGACCGTCTGTCTGACCGTAACCAACCAGAAAGCTCTAAGAAGCGCCCGCCAAGAGATGGCGAGGACGATTTAAATGAAATGGAATAGTGTTGATCGTTAGGATCACACTATTAAAAGGGCGTCTACGGCAATTGTCGGTACGTCACAAGAATGAGAAATGGTGTTGTATAAAGGCGACGTGACATATTAACATTAACTGCATTTGTGTATTTGTTGTTTTCAGCATTTATAGCACAGAATCAGAAAGGATAAAGAAATCATGGGGAGCATCGATTGGGGTTGAAATTGATTCGGTCTATAAAGCCGGCCCCAAGGGAGTTATTACGACAATTAGCCGGCTCTCCTCTTTAAGCGATTCAGTGTTATAAATTTGCAAGAGAAACTACGGTAATCAAGCCGGATCTCTTGAATACGAAAGGGGGCCACAAGCGGCGAAAAAGAGAAAGACAACAGGTGGAAATTTTGATGGGGTAAACTTGATGCGGCAGTCAGCCGGCCTCATTAGAGTTGCTACGGCAAACTATGCCGGCAATCTCTCTAAGCGAATTAGTGTTATAAGTCAACGAGAGAAATAGCGGTAATCAAGCCGGATCTCTCGTACCGAAGTTGGGCCACAAGCGGCGAACAAGAGTCAAAGATTTAATGTGGAAGCATCGTGGGGTAAATTTAATGCGGTAGTTAGCCGGCCCCATCGGAGATGTTACGGTAAACTCTGCCGGCACTCTGGCCGCTCGAGGCATATTGAAGTTGGATGTGCGACGGAAAGGTCAACCTGCAAGTTCTACCAGGGAGGCAAGCGAAGAAGTGCTTGATGGCCGCAGAAAATTGGCTAGGTTCCTCCATGACCTTTAATGGAAGTTGAAGAGAAGTTAGATGACCTTTGGGATCATCAATTGCCCAATAGAGTCATTGTATTGGAATTCAAGTCGCATGACCTTTTGGGACCATTAACCCAAAATGTGTCGCACATCTCAACGGATCATCTCAATACAGGATGACCTTAACCAGGGAGGAAGCGAACTACGCTTGTCTACATGACGTCCCTCCATGACCTTTAATGGATCTCATTTGAAAGTCGTACAATTGATACGCACCGTATTCCAAAGATTGAAGCAGTATTCCTAAGTCGTACTTGATACGCACCCGATTCTCAAGCTGATTGTGATGAAAGTCGCATTACACATGCGCGGGATTGCTCAACAGAGCGGAATGGGCCAAAGTGCGGAAAACGGTGGACAGGACCTGTGACCTTTACGAGTCAGAAATGGAGGATCCTAGTCTACATTTGATTAATACTTTTGTTGATCTTATAACTGTTGATCTGTTTTTGTATTAAAATTGATATGGAATAGTATTTTGATACAGATCTCTTTATTTTCACATAGTGCATTTGGAATTGATGTGATAAATGGAATAAGAGAATTTGATGTTTTGAGCACGCACAGATACCGGCAACCGTCTTTTCGTGGATTCGAGTGTGTCCAGCCTCAACGGAGCTCGGCATCCCCCAGAGGCATGTGAGACGAGGCTCACTAGCGTTCACGCCCGTGGCGCTAGGCGCTACGCCTTCGGATTACGGTCTGTGACGTGTCTCGCTCTGATTGGCTAGCTTGAGTTGTGTTAGTGGGCGCGGCTTAGCACGTGCTGCACAGTGTTACACACTGTTGAATTGGTTCTACGATTGACGATCGAGCTGTGCCGATCACTTGTTGTTTTTCTGGTCTCCAGACTTTCAATATTATTAAAAGTCAGCTATTAGCGGTGCGACGTTTCGCGATTCCGCGTAGTTCGCTATACATATCGCATAGCTCACTCCACGGGATAGATTCCGTTTCTGTCTCCGTATCTGGATCACAGTTGGATCTAGCATTAGAGGTACCTATTACCGAAGCAGCATCACCACGTTGAATTGTTAAAGAGATTGTTGAGAATTGTTATGTTCTGTTTCAAAAACTCCAGACTACGAATCTCGCCGGTTTGTAGCGAAATCCTCTTCCCAGTCTCATTGACAAATCTTTTGGCCGATGTACCAAAACTACCGAAAATTTCTGTCACGACTTAGTACTTTACTGCAGCTCGACCAAACACACACTGATGGTCTCACACTGATGACCATACGCTAGCAACATGGTTGCTATACTACGCCACAGTTTCCAAGCCGACAGCCGTAAACTCGTATCGCCCCAACAGGAAGCCGTACTTCCTTGCTTTCTTGGCTTCGGCGTGGTCAGCTGCCGCTTCGGCCTTCACACTGGTCTGATCCCAATACGAACGGGCGACAGTATCAACACAGGTAACATCCCCCGCCAAACACAGTCCCCTTGTCCATGGGAAAGTGGTAATGCCATCAGAAAGTGTTTCGTTTTCGTGGTGCATGCCTCTAGGTTCGGTCCATGCGGGTATGCCTGCTGAGCCAACGGCCCGTCGCAAGATGTCGTTAATGCAGTCGTGTCTAGGCCGTCTTCCCGCTGGGAAATTGTGTGAGTTTTGCTTAACAGACAGCCACGGCGTTCCACGCGTACACAGCGCCTCCGTAAAGGTACCTGCAAATCCGTGCCTACCTTGGAAGAAATTTGACCGTGGTGTGCAGTTGGCAGTTCTAAATAAGTCTTTATCAACTCGGGAATCGGTAAAAGTATAGGTAAAGGCTACAGATGCATATAATTGACCACCTATCCATTTCCACTAGCTATTAACCGGTAGGAACAAACGACAAGATCAAACAAAGTATTTTAAGTACCAATAAGTATGTGTGGCATAGTGCCGACAGAAACATATTTAGTAGCGTAGTAGAAACATTACGTTATTTCTACAATAATGAAACTTTACGCTGCCGAGGCTTCCGGCGGCACCGCCGCTATTGCTGTCATGTACCACGAAAATCCTACCGTGCTACTGAAAATGACTTTGTGACTCGTTCCTATCAATGATTGTCCTTGTGCTGGGGGTATCCTGCTGTATTTGAATGTACACGAACACTTCTTATCACGATTGACAGAGTATCGTAATTACTGGTTTATTTGCAATATGTGCAGAGAGGAGCAGCGCTCATAAAAATACGCTCAAATGAAAAATGTGTCTCGTTGGCACGAGAAAGGACCGTACATAACACACTCATGGCATTCCGGCCCACGCATTATTTCCAAACTTAAACGCTGAAACAAAAAACAAGTAGAGCGGCTCTCGCCCGTCTTTAAAAACAACATCTTACCAATCTCCTTTAACGTAACAATGCCGGTCTTTAACGTAACAATCGGAATTTATTTGCTTTCCTTCATGTACACAGATCAACAGCTGTGCTCTAAACTTCTTACTATAAGTACCAATTCTTCTCACTACTTACTTCTTCTTACTACAGTATCAGTTTTCAAAGCATGTACCGTAATTATCGAATGAGAGCCCCAGGGTTACAAATATTTCAAACGCCTCACGGGGTGGGCTCCAACTACGGGCATGGGCTTGTATTTCGGAGGGGGCTTCAATTTTTCACCTAACTTTTCTGGCATTGACTAACATGGGCTGTATAACAGTTAATTACGCCCATGGGCTTATATTTCGGGGGGAGCTTATAACTTTCAAATGACTTTAAGGGTGGGCTCTAATTACGAGGGGAGCTTTTATTTCGGGGGGGAGCTCATATTTCGATAATTACGGTATCTGTAGATTAAAAGGTTCAGGAATCTGGCTAATGTTTTCCCAGCGGAAGCGGATTTTGTTATTTGCCCAATAAAAAAAAAGATATCTCCGACATAAAGAAATGCTGGGCTTAATGCAAACATTTGCTGCTGATATGAACAGGAATGTCTGGATCTGGACATTGACAATGAATTCATGTGTGCTGATCGGTTCACCGTTACTGTTCTAACTTCTAATACTCATGTAATGTTGTGCCTAATCAAAATTGCCGATGTGTAGGCTTTGCAAATTACATACCTTTATTACCAACATGAGAAGTTAAAAAGCACCACAAGGAGAATTTTCTCGGCAGCACAAACAAAATCAAATTAATACAGCTGAATTCAAAATGCAAAAAAAAATACCAAACACCCGGCAAACTGCCGAAAAATATATTAACGGGAACGTCGGACCTTCCCGTCCGGCTTCGAATCGGCGCATCTTGTAGAGGGTGAACAGCTAGTCCGAATAAGAAAGATTTACATTGACCATTAAGTGAACTGTGCAGAGGTAGTCAAGGTTCTGCTGTAAATAGGAACGGCGTCGCATCACATACCACAATGGCATCCCCTACGCGTACACCCCATGACAATAAATTAGTGAATACTTTCTAATTTCGGCTGGTCACCGTGCGCCGCCTTCTCATGACGGCGCCGGCCGGACACACTGGCGAAGCGCTTGCCGCAGCCAATCCCGCGGCAGGGCAGGTTGTGCTGCAGCGGGCACGAGTGCCGGCGCAGCTCCCCCTCATCCGCGTACTCCACGTTGCAGGCCTTACACGTACTGGACGCCAGCAGGGATTGCGCGCGTTTACGCTTCCCGCGGATGACCGGCTCGGGCAGCGGCGAGAAACTGACCCGCTTCTTGGGCTGCGTGGCGGGGCTGACGGATTCGGAGCGGTGGATGAGGGACGGTTTGAAGGAGAGGGTGATGAAGTGGGGTTTACGAGGTGATTTCGGGGCGGGACTGGTGGGGAGCGCGGGCGGCATGGCCACGTCCGCGCCGACATTTTGCTCGACGCTGGACGGTGTGTCGTCCGCCACGGGCAGCGGCGGGACGGATGCCAGCTCCGTGTCGACTTCCATGTTTTCGGCGACTGCTTCCACTGGAAGCTTCGGTTCCGATGGTGGCGAAGCGGGATCGCGTGGTGCAGGCGGGGATTCGGCGGCGTCCTTAACAACCGCCCCGGGATGCCTGAGAAAGAAACCATTTAAATTTCCATTTGTAGGATGGTAGATTGTCACCCTAGTCGGATATGGGCTAGCAGCTCTGGCTCAGATTAAACTCAATCAAATTAAATTAAAGATCGTCCCACCCTGTTACCTACATTCCGTTAACCCTAGTGACGATGTTCGGCTGATTTTGAAACAAATTAAAAACAAATTTATTTCATTTCTGTGTTCAAGGCAAAACACTCCAGAAGAAATCTGTAAATCGGTTTTTGTAACTGGAAAATATTTATTCCGGTGTTTTCTAGTACTTATATGACTTTCCACATTATACTTCATTAACTCGATGATTACTTCCATCGATAATTCGTGTTTTAAAGTCAAGAAAACCAGCAACACGGCATCCTTACTCTTCAGCAGCGACGGCAGCCGGGACGGGAATCGTGTTGTCAGCAGTAATGGCAGTGTCTTCCTTCCGAACCTGATTGTCCGTGTCTGTCTTGGAATTCTGAAAAATGAAGACATTACTGCTCTACATCGCTCGGCAAAATCTGCCAATATGAACCGAATCACCCACCATTAGTTTCTCGACAACCTCCCGGTTTTTGGCATACATGGCAAATGCCCCGTGGAAGGACTCGGTGACCTGCAGGAGCGCGGTATTGCGCGCCGTCAGCTCCGCGACGCGGCGCTGCTCCTCCGCCAACCGCGCCTCCAGCTCCTGGATGCGCCGCTGACTGTCCGAGGCATCCTGCTGCTCGTTCATCATCCGCTTCTTCTCCTCCCGCAGGGTATCCATCACCGACTTCTGCTGGGAAATAACGCGGTCGCGCTCCAGCACCTGCTTCTGCAGTGTCCGGACAGCCACTGCAATGGAAAGTGATTCGACCAGTTCGAAAACCAGTTCGACTCCAAACTCAGACTCAGAACGCTACTAATTTCAAGCGACCTTGTAGGGAAAGTTTTTAATCACTAACCATTAAAGAGAAACGTATAAGTAAAGAAACTGCCAATTCGCGAATTTCTTTACTCGGTTTGTAGCAGACCTTCTTAAAAAGTCGAACGATTTCAAGGTTTCTCTGCGACAAGTTTCTAAACACTTTTCTTTAATCCTCAGCACTGTTTAGCGCACGCCCAATAATTAAAATGATTTTTTAAAGCACTTAGAAAACGAAAAAGGATCCAAAATCGTTGGTCGCAACAAATTTTCGCAGCATAGGGCTTACGTCGTTCGCTTTCCCTTTCCTCCGTCCACTTCTCCTTCATATAACCGTAAGCCTATAGGGGAAACAGTTAGCGGCATTTTTGCAATTTTGCATGTCAGCCGTGAGATACGATGGGAAGGCTGAGAAAGCTCACCTCATCCATCACTTTTAAAAAAGCTTCTTTGCTGCCGCTTTCGAATTTGCCTAACAAATGACATCAAAAAGAAAGACAGGCCGTCAGTCATCAATATACATGACTTAATAGGCAAATCAAAATAACACAAGGTTCAAGCGGGGGCACACTGCTTCACAGTCAAAATTAATTTTAAGCATTGAAAACACAACCAAAGTCTCCATCCTCTGAAAATGTAACGTACTGAACACAGGCAGCATTCATCACATCATTATAATGCCACGGAGTTCGACTAACAAGTTAAGCTGAAGCCAATTGCATTTCATACAATTAGCTTCATGTTGTCAGATAAAAAGCAGGCGTAAGTTGCTAAATAATATAACTGTTTCGAAAATCGAAATCGGGTACTGGATGTTGTTAAGTTTAACTTATCGTCTTCATGTAACTGTCAAGAATATAAGTACAGGTAAATTAAAACATACGCACCTGGCGGCCTAACTGCAAGGCGCATTTTGCCACTTTTGTATGCATTGATATTTGAGGTGGTCCTGGTCGGCGTGTTCGCCATGATTGGATTTTCAGTGCAGACTGGATCCACACAGACTACCAATGGGAAAAAAATTTAAGCTGTAATGGGTCAACGCAACTGCGCTTGCCAGTCACTAGTCAGCACAGGTGCGGGGGTTTCCAGTGAATACCCGTAGGCGTAGAATCTCCAGATAACAGAAACGCTGCAGTTTTGTACAGATTCGAATGGCCGGGAAAATTAAAGTAACTGCAAGGAAAAGTGGGGAACCAGAAAATATTTGAAAAAATTACCCGTTAAACACGTGGCGTGCTTAGCCGAATAAAAAGTATGGTTTCAGTGTTGCAACGAAGGTTTGCTCAAACCTTTCCTGCCACGCGTTGGCGTTCGATCAAAAAATGTTCTGCATACGCTGAACAGATTGAAACCACGCGATTTGCTATTAACCGATAGAGACTAGACAGCATTCAACTAGAGTCTGTCTCTCTCTCTCTGTTCTCAGCCTCAGTATGTCTCTCTCTCTCTCTATCTGTGGCAGCGCACATCGTATATCTCTGTCTGCTGATCGACACATACAAATTTCGAAACTGCCGTCTGCAGCAAACCGACTATATTACTGTAACTCACTGACGTGCCGCCCAGGGTGACGGCTGCCTTAAAAGCCTTCCCGTCTGCAATATTCGGGATTTGTACAGTAATTAGTTGTGACTTGTGAGTAGCCTTTTATTAATTTTTATTATTTTGCATTTTTCCTTGGGTTCTCCGCTTCTACTTGTGTTTACTGTTACATTACAGATAATCGGTGTCTCGGTCGTTCTATGCAATCTAGAATTTTAATAATACCAGCTTCTAGGTACAAGAAGGTTCCTGGTGGTTCCTGGTACCTTTTTGTGAAGAGCTCAGTGAACTTGTGAGCCTCGCGTGACGCAAACCAACTGGTCCATGAAATGCTGGTGTACGGAGACGACGTGTACACATGGAACTCCGTAGACGTCCTCGTCGACGGCCAGCTGCAGTACGGCCGCGTTATTAACGTGGCAGAGGGTGGTCTGATCATTGATTTCCACTGTGCGGGGCAGCGCGCGCAGTTCGTCGAATACGGTCGCATCTTCCAGTGCCGCGACTCCCACGCCGTCGTTTTTGATTTTCGCTCCAAAATCTACCGGACCAGTGAGGGCCGGGAGCCCGTGTACGACACGGACGCGCAGGTCCTACTGCGCGCTTCCCGCGAGGCCCCCTGGATCTTGTATCCGGGGAAGATTGGCGATTACGGCTGCGATGAATCGCTGGTGGTGGAGGTGCGGTTACCGAGCGGTATGGTTAGGGAACTGCTGCCCTGCCAACAAATACGCGTGCCGCTGTCGGAGGAGGATTGGGCGCAGCGGCTGATCGTGGAGAAGCAGTTTGTCATCCGCTACTGCCCAATACCGACTGCCTGTCGGTTAAAGAATTCTTCGCTCCTGGAAATCTTCCAGGGCAGCTTGCATATGCAGTATCACGCACGGATTACGGCGGTGTTTAGCGGTGCGGTTCTCTATATGAACCGCGGTGCAGGCAATCCGCTTCACGCTGATACACTGGTACGTCATTATAAGCCATAGGTCCTAGACTCCTAGTATTAAATACTAGTGTTAGAGCGGCATCCGCTCTCTATAGGATCGTTTGATAAAACATTTCGATAGAATTTGTACGCTTTGCCGATAGCCTAGTGGTGCCTCTCTCGGCCTTAAAGTATGGAGGTTGTGGGTTCGATTCCTTCAATCGGCAGATTTTTTCCGAAGTTCTATACGATCCTAGCACCTCCCTTGCACTAGAACCTATGGCTTATAATGACCTACCAGTACCAGTAAATTTTACTCTCGCGTAATTTCTACAATTCAGGGCTAATAATATACTGGTAGTCTGGTAGTGCCTGCACTGTCTGGTACCATTTTCTCAGCATCCGCTTGCGGCGTTTTTATTATTATTTGAACTGCCACAGGCAACGTCTTCAAATGGAGATGTATCACCAGGCTATTAATCTTTTTTGTTGATTGGAAAATTTTTAAACTTGTTCGGTTGGATTAGCGGAATTTATATTACAAAAAATTTTTACGAGAAGCAACAGGTTTCCCAAGAGTCTCATTATCAGCGGATCCTCAATTTTTACCGACAAAGGCACATCCCGTTAAGTACGAAGATCGTTTTTCCACTAAAAAAGGCACTATATTTTTTTATGTGCGCTACATGCATAACTTGATGGAGATCAGTCCATAATGAGACTTTTGCTGAACCTGTTTGTATTTCGATTCTTTGTCACAATGCTTCAGCCAGCTTCCCGACCGGATGTTGGACGTTCAAACGGTTTTCACGCCAATGAATACAAATCACTTTGTTTTATGCACGTACAAAAAGTCTTCGCACAACCGAAGGTTCCCGTGAATACATTCGAATTAAACGCGAATACGTATGTGACAGGAGTATTATACTGCACTGTACTGCACGTTTCCTTGTTGGCAGGAACGCCTGTGCGCCACGGCGCAGTTGGGCGTGGACTACATGAACTCGCCGCGTTTGCCATTTCTTGAGATGCAGGTTCTGCACCGCATAAGCGATCCCCTCGATGGTCTGCCGTTGCCGGCGGAGTTATTACTGGAGGTCTTCCGCGCACGGGACTGCATCGGGCGCGTCCGCTGTCGCCGCGTGTGCGCACTATGGAACAGCCTTCTCACCACCGATGCCTACTTCCCCGATGTTCGCGTTTCTGGTCGGGAAGACGACTATCGCGCCCACGGGCTGCCTCTCGGGGTTGTCCTCCCCAGTCACTGGCTGGTCACCGGCTTGATGAAATGCGTGAACAACCGCACGCAGACGGTGGTTATCACGGGTCTGCGCTTCCGTCTGTGCCGGCGCATCCCCAAACTGATCCGTCGCCTTCACCGCCTTAAAACGCTGGTGTTTTATAGGTGCGAGTTTGGCCAATATGAGAACCCGGAATATATCAACGTGACCATCGAGCACATGTTAAACATGCAGCTGTTCGCCACGTGTCGACGCGTGGTGTGGAAGAAGTGCGACGTATACGATTACCACTTGCAGGCGTTTGTTGCAAGGCAGGCCATCGACGTCCAGCCGGACGGTGGGCTGGAGATGCAGCTGTGGGATCTCTTTGAGAAGAACCTGGTTTTGAAGAAACCGGTGGATTTGCAGGCGCTCGTGGAATGGGTGGACACTGTCGCCATGTACGACCGGACGCTCCTGGACGAAATTTTCGAGGTAATGCAGTCGCTTGATTTCCTCATGTTTAGGAAACTTAATCATTTTAATTCGTGTAAATCTGCGCTGGCGTACTGATACAGTACGGTTACTGGTTAACGATTATTTGGATTACTAGTTATGGCTTGCAGGTACTGTGGAACTATCAGAGTGCAGACCCGCGTGGCGACGCTGTCCGTTGCACGCGCCGCGAGAGACTGGCGAAATTCAGCGAGGAAATGGATGTTAGCCTGCTGACCACGATGACCGCGGCGGTGTTGCATGAAGGCATCGCTCGGCTGCACTAGTTTTGGGAGACTTCTCCCAATATGATACCTTTGGTCAAAATGGTAATATGCCAGTTAAGGCGAGACTGCGGTGATGACTGTGCGTTCTTCAGTTCTATCCCAGTTCCGCCACTCTCCTGTTTCACGGAGTTGTACGACAACTTGTACCACGATGTGGACTGGGAATTCGGTTAAGTACAGTGCTAGTACGGTGTTTTTTACTAGTGCGGTACGATGTTTTCTGTGGTTGTCAGGTCACCAGCTCTATGGTGTTATAATAGCATTAAACGTTACAACAATCCTGGCTTTCAGTACAGCATTTCAGAAAGGAGTTCCTTTCGCAGCACGGCAACATATTGTCATTTCCGTAAACACTTCCCGTAGTCAACACTCGACAGTAGCTGTACTCGAAGGGCACTTTAAACGCGTTCTGGACGATACCGGATACAGAGCCGGAAGTTCTGTAACGTTTCGATCACACCCCCTTACCGCTGATTGAACGGCCGAGTTAAAGTGTTCTGTATCTAAAAAGAACTCTCCTGGCTCCGTTGCGATACAGAACTCGCATTCTGCTAGGTCAGATTTTATTTTTTGATTTATTTTATTATTTGCACAGTCCGAGGGTTAACCGAGATATGAGAAAACTCGAAGTATTTCCTTAGTGCATGCCACAAATTCGTTGCGCGCAGCAACGACGTTCTATTTGTAAAGGACAGGCACATGTTCTATGAGTGCCTGTGTTAGAAACGCCGCCGTCAGTGGCGTCAGCGTCCTGACGTCCAAACCGGCCAGATGGGACACCTGCCAGTCCCGCCCGCGGTACTGCGTGGTGGGACGGGGATCGGCGCTCTGGCAGCACTTGAGCGTCTGCAAGCAGTACCCGGCATTAATTTCCCGATCATCCGAAAAAGAACCAAACGGAAGACTCACGCCTAAAATAACTACAATAATATGTGCTTCGTTGGCAGCGACCGCCTTGCTGATCCATGCCGACAGCTCCGGCAAGTTGAGCGGCCGCGGCCAGACCAGCGTCTGCTCAAAGAGCTCAAACATCTGCATCATCATGTCTTGTCTGCAGCGGACGCTAAAGGTATGCTGAGCGATGGCGATCGGCTCGCTACACGAGTGGAAGACGCGGCAATGCTTCCACAGAATGCGCTGGCATGCACATTGCGCGGCGTCGTGCGCCGTGACGACGATAACATCCCGGCCAAACGTGCGGTCATCCCCGAATTCACAATCGTAGAACACCAGCGTCGGCAGCCGGTGGTGGGCGTTGAAGGTGTGATTGATGGGCTCGGCAACGTTGCCGTTGTTATCCGCGGTCAGGTGCATGACCACCGCCACCCGGGTGGCGGGGGTCAGACATTTCAGCAGGCAGGCCAGCACCCAGTACGTGCCCTCTTCACGCACAGGCAGTCTGCCGTGATACCTAACCAAAACAATTTTCCAGTAGCCATGTAAGATTTCTCCCTTAAAAGGAATTGGATAGTATCATATTAATAATTGGATAATATCATAGTCGGATAGTATTGTAACAACAGCCTATCTGGCTGCTGTTCTAGTGGGTTGACGATCAGTCTTTACCACGATTATGCGGCTGTTGGGATGAAAGGTGGCACGGCCGGCAACGTTGCTGGCCGAGGACGCTCTTAACTGACTTAACATAATTACACAAGTGGCTCCGATTGGGATGACACAGGTTCATCCCAAGCGGTCAAACGCAACAACGTAACTCAAGGCATGTTTAATGACAAGGCGTTCAAGAAACGGAGCAAGGCTGTAAGCAAGAGTTTAGGATAAGTTGATCAAGGACATGCAAGCTGTAGCAAGCTGAGTACAAGACCGAATTCTAGAAATGCATGAGAAGGAGAACTAGCCGGTAAAGTGGACAGAATTCTAAGCGCGATGGAATGATGAATCATAACTGGGTAGTCTTATCGTTCGTGCAAATACTATGTCTACAATAATATCATAATAATAATCAAACATTTTAAATGATTTATTGTGCACTTGCTGAATTGCTCATAGCCAGGTGATAAAACGCCAGGCTTTAAGATTGTACGTCGTGGGTTCGATTCCTACGAGTAGGCTGGGGAACCTTTCTCCCATAATTCAAACCAACAAAAGTATAAAGTTTTCTTAACCAAAAAATTTGCCAATAGCCTGATGAGATATATACATTAAAACTAGTTGGCTACTGTAGTGTTTTATATTAATAAGAAAATATTACCCGGGTTTGCCTGAGACGCGCACGTCGGGGAAGTGCGATTCCGTGGTGAGGATACTGTTCCATAGTGGACATACCCGCCGACCACGGACACGCTCGATGGAGTCCAACGCCTGGAAGACCTCTACCAGGAGTTCCACCGGAAGCGCTGAATTCATTCCGCACACCTTTCGCCGTGTTCTAGGCGGGCTGGTCGTTGATTGATGCCGCACAAGCTCTAAAGTACGCGAAGAGCGCCAGTTGAGCAGCTCTTCCTGCAAACAAAAAAATGACATAATTTTTATTAGCACTTGTACACGCCCGGTGATTAATTTCCAGCGTAGAGCCTCTACGCTGGAAATTAATCACCGGGCGTGTGCCGCCTGTACCTCTACGGTAGAGGTACAGGCGGCACATATTAGCGCGGTGTTAGCGATCAAAAAATCAGCCAATACACGACAATTGTGCGATAAATATTGTTATCATAAATAAAATTCGGTTTTTCGATAAATGTTTGTAACTTTTTACGGTAACAATATACCGTAATTATCGAATTTGAGCCCCAGGGTTAAATATTTCAAACGCCTCACGGGATGGGCTGTAATTACGGGCAGGGCCTTCAGTTACTCAAATAATCATTTTAATTAGTGTAAACTTGCGGAAGCATACCGATATTATGTGCATTCAGCATTGGCTGTTGCCTATTAAAAAAAAGTTATTCAAACTAACTGTTTTAGCATTGACTAATATGGGCTGTGTAGCATATAATTCGGCCCATGGGTGTCTATGGGGGGGGGGATTATAATTTTCAAATGACCTTAGGAGTGGGCACTAATTTCGGGGAAGAGATGGCTTGTATTTGGGGGGAGGGGTATAGCGCCAGTCCTACATTTGAAACGATCTCTGATGATTTGATCCCATTACACCCTTACCAGCTGTGCAGCTGTCAGCGGAGTATCAGTCTGTCGTTGGAGATAGAGAACTACCTGGCTGTGCACGGCGGTGCACAGCATATTGCAGGAGTGCCTGGACTGGATCGTTTTCTCCTCCAACAGCTCCCTGAGCCGTTGTGGATCCGCCGAGGAGTAGGTGTCCGGCAGCGGACACCACCGAATGACAAAGTCATCCCGCTGGACGCGCCGCTCCGTGAAGGGCTCACGCAGCTGCGGGTAGGGGACCAGCTCCATGGTGTTCCCCTGGGGCAGCTCCACCCGCACGAATTCCAAGTCCTCCAAAAAGCCGTCAGATTGAAGGGGGAGACTGTGTCCCGCGTACCACGTCCATGCGTCGTCCGGGTGGTAGCGCAGCAACACCAGCAGCTTCATTCCGGGGGACCCGAACAGGTCCTGGTTGCTGAAGCGGAAGATGCGTTCGTACTCGACAAACTGCGAGCGCCGTGCACGGCAGCCGAAGTCCACGATCAGGCCGCCCTCGGCCACGTTGATCACCTCGCCGCGCTGCAGCCGACCGTCGACGAGGACGGCCACGGCATTCCACTCCCACACATCCGCTTCATCGTCCCCGAACACCAGCATTGCGCTGTCGCTGCTGTCAGAGGACTAAATCCTCGACAACCCACGGTGTACGACAACGGCTGCCCCAAATATCGGGTTTTATAATAAATAAAACTTTTATTTAGCAAACCCAGACTGCGGGCCCTCCTTCGTGGGCGAACGGGTATTCACTCACCCCCAAAATTAGAAGGCCAATTTTCAGGGACGAACATCTTATCCGATTCATAAGCAGATGTGTAACGTGTGTAATAAATAAACAGAACAGTTGTGTTTATTCGTAAAAGGGGATACATGAGAGCAAATTCAAGATCACACCATCAGTCACTGATTTTCCAGTAGAAAATCCAGTAGCAGGGGAATTTCTGTAGCCAATCGCCATTTCTGGCGGTTGCAGTACACACCGTGACAGTTATTAACGTAGCCGCGGCTATTAGGCGGCAGCTGCAAATTTACGCAACTACTTACTGTAATCTGAAAACTTAAGGCGATAGACTGGTTTTGCTTCATCCCCAGAGAAGTTACAGTAACTACATTTTCTAGAACAGAAAAAAATGCTTTTTAAAATGAGAAGTCTTTTGAGAAGCAAAGAACAGAACAGAAACCCAAATCCGTCTAAAACCAAAAGGTACCGCGGGTCCAAAACGACGGAGGGGTGCAGCAGCACGGTTCGATTCACGTAGCTGCCATCACAGTTTCAATCGAAGCATACCCAACCGCACGCGGGCTGCGTGTCTGCGTACCTCTGCAGCCGTGCGCAGGCGGCGATTTCATGAACGCCATGCGCAGCCTGCAGGTAGCGTGGTTGTCTGCTCAAACTGGTCCACCGATGCAGCGGACCATTTGCAAAACCGAAAACCTTGATTTACTGGAAGTAAAGTTCGGAGAGTTTTACGCGTATTGCATTCCACTGCCGCAATGGAATTGGTCGTCCTTGGTACCATTGGAAAGAAAAAATTATTCTACACACTGGGTTTTCTTGGTTTTGGGATATAGTCATTCGAACTCCAACGCTCAGTGATTTTCTCCGTAAGAAGAATTAGTTCCATGTTCAAAACTTGTATCTTCCTAGCTTTTATTCAAGATTTTTCTGAATAAACCCAGTGTGTGAAATAATTTTAAGTTCCATTTGAAAACATCAGACCTGATGATGGAACGCCGTGCAAGTGCACGTCGACGGCCTGATGCAACACGGCTACGTTATAAACGGGGCGGAGGGCGGCTTAATTATCGACTTTGGCTGCACCACACGACGCTCGGAGTTCGTGGAAGTACAGCTGCCCCACGGCACCGTCACCGAGCTGCTCCTCAGCGGGCAGATGCGTGTCGCAGAGCCTCAGCAGCGGCCCGTAGCGAGGGACGACTTTGTTATCCGTTGTTGCCCGCTGCCGGCCGCCTGCTGGTCCGAAGATCCACACTGGCTCGGGCACCTGTTCAAGGACGAAATGGGCTGCTACCTAGATTGCGAGATACTGTGTACCGCTGTGCTCAGCCAGGAAATTCTCTATCTGCAGCGCCAGAATGACACTCCGCTGTCGCCTGCACAGCTTGTAAGACTTCGCCATTTCAGGCAGTGAAGTGGACTGGAGGGAAATAACAATTATCCAGACCATCCATGCCCATAATGGGTCTTAAAAATATATACTCTACAACGCGACCATATATTATATTGAAAACAAATTTTATTTCTCAATATGTACAAGGCGAGCTTCGCTCAACAAATATCATCAAATGAAGAATTTGTTCCAATTAACATGGGAAGGGACCGTGCACAATACTAGACTCATAGCTTTACCAAGCATAATCTCCAAACTAAAACGTGTATTGAAATATGGTCGACAGCAGTATTGGCTCTCGGTGGATTGGGATTAAAATTCGCTCGACATTAGACAGAAAATATAGAGACAGCAGTTGCTCCGTCAAAATTTCAGATTTGGTCAAGCAGAACATTTCTGTAACAATTTTTTAGACTTTCGGGAAATGATTTTTTTATCAAAACACCCCCTCTGGTGCAGAAACGGTTAGCTGTAAATGTTAATTCTTGCAGAAAGAGGTGCACAAGCGTGGCTGCGCTGTACGACACGCGTTGCCGCCCGTTCTCGTTGGAAGCACACCCATCCCAAGCCCACCCTGGAATGGGCGCAAAGAGGACGGTGAAGCTTTGTCCTTGCCATTAGAGCTGCTAACAGAGATCTTCCAGGCGCTAGATTCCATCGAGCGCGTCCGCTGCCGGCGCGTCTGTCCCCTATGGGACACTCTTCTCACCTCTTCCTACTTTCCCGATGTGCGCGTCTCCGGCAAGGACGGGCAGTATGGTCGGCTGCCTGACTGCGATGAAGGCTTGTTCTGGGTGATGGCCGGCCTGCAGAAATGCCTGCGCCCGGCCACCAAGAAGGCGGTGATCATGCAGCTGTACGGCAACACGACCCACAACCTTGCCGAGCCGCTAAATCACACGTTCAACACCAGTCGCCGGCTGCCGACCCTGGTGTTCCAGGATTGTGAGCTCGGCGGTAACTATTACTCTGTCCATGATGCTATAGGCTTCGTGGCGGAGGAGGCCGTGCAGTCTGTGTGCAAGCGAATGGTGTGGAGGGAGTGCCGCATCATCACCAGCACGGCGATCACCATCGCGCAGAACGCCTTCAGCGAGCGCTCGCGGGTGACATGGTGGTGCAGCTGTTCGATTACTTTGAGAAGACGCTGGTCCCCACGCAGCCGCTGGATGTGCCGGCGCTGGCGGGATGGATCGCCAAAGCCGTCGCTGGCCACTTCGAATACCGTATTGATGACGTTTTAATGGTGAGTCAATAGTTTCTGTCTCTCCTCTAAGAGCCTGTGGTGTACGTACATAATTGCGTATTGTCTTAGCAACGTTGCCAGTGTAGAATTACTGTACTTACTAGTGTTTTTCTTAATTATTCATTCAGTTGTCGTACTAGTGAAGAGTTAATATACATTATTTACTAAGAAAGCACGGACTTCACAGAGCCGCAAGTCAGTGCATAACGCTGATTGCAGATCCTGAACACCTACCAGAGCCCCGATCCCCGTCCCACCACGCAGTACCGCGGCCGGAAGTGGACGGTGTCCCACTCGGCCAATTTGGATGTCACGACGCTGACCCCACTGACAGTGACGCTTTTGAGGGATACACTCACGTCGCGTATGCGTTCTCTTTCTGGATAGGAACTTGGGGGGCTTCATTGTTGCGTGCATTGACTTGTGGTGGTTAGTGTTGGGCAAGTGTTGAAAAGTGTTGCGCTTGTTGTTAGATATCCGACAGTTTCCGCTTCTGGGAGTTGTAGTAAGATGCGGATTTGAGCTTCTTTTTGTCATTCAAATAGTTGCGTTTATTTTGAATGGCTGCTGTTGCTTAAATGGCAGTTACTTAGCAATTTTGCATGCTTATGAATTTTGTGGAAAGTAGTACTAGTCCCAACGAGGAAGAGGTGCTTCGAACGGATGGAATGGCTCCATCGCACTGAAATCTGAATGCGAGTGGTTCTCAACTTCTCATGATAATTTTAATCGGTCAGAAAAATTGAGGACAGGTCCAGATTCCAGATGCGTGTGGTTGAGCAAACGTCGCCCGGCTCCCGACGCACTTGTACTGTTATGGATGTCCCTACATCGTAATACTCGTTCAACGTCCAGTCCAAATATACCACCGAAATGCAGCTGCGGGATCTTTTGGACTAGAAAAATCTTCCGGCGTGACACCTAGCAAGATCATTTTAAAAAGAAACTGCCTTATTGTGCAGGTAGGCTGCCTATTTCTCCCTGTGAGCGCACCTCAGGGAGGTACTACCAGTGTATTTTGTTACCATTTTATCGCGGAACAAGAGCGGACAGCCCATAAGGAAATCAGTAGCAATTTGGTGCTAACGGAAAGATTTGGGACAGATTCACAGGTTTCAGTAGAAATTCAAAGGACAGAACTAGCGCCGGGAATTTTAGGGCTATCGCCTATCAGAAAGAAATTTGTCAAGACGAATTTCCATTGTGCAGGGTCTTGAAGAATCTTGAAGGGTGTCGATCCGCAGGCGGAAGTGGGCACCGAATTCCATTGGCGAGGCGGATGTGGATGAGCTGATCGGGCGGACTGCAGCGCGTTTAGCCAAAAAGTGCTGTTTGTTCCAGACTGAATGTTGTTGAGCGAGCGCTTCGTGGAGTTATTATTTATTTGTTTTAACCTTTCGATGCTTATAGTTAAAATGAGGGTATCTGCCGCCTGCCGGCGAAATATGAATGCTTATCCGCGTTGTCAACATCATATCAAAAACTCATTACAAAACTCAACAGCGGTATACTGATTTCTTCACATGTCTAAGCAAAATAGCGCAAACCTTCTATTCCCACAGGACGAGTATAAAGGCATAAGAAAAATAAACCCGTTACCGTACCATCGACATATTGTCCGCTTCGCAAGATGTTAGTTATAAGCGCGAAATACATTTTCGCATTTCCCAACTTGTTAATCGCGGAGTGAATGCATGTAACACCAAAGTACTACTTGTAAAGGACAACCACGTAGGGACGTAGCTCCTCCGTCAAAAATGCCGCCGTCAGTGGGGTCAGCGTCGTCAAATCCAAATTGGCTAGATGGGACACCGTCCACTCCCGTGGTGGGACGGGGATCGGCGCTCTGGTAGCTGTTCAGCGTCTGCAAACAGAGCACGACGTACTGATTCTGAATTCACTAACCAGGACACATAGGCTGGCTCAAGAGTAAACAGATCTCATCTTATGCAGAAAGTTAATATACTACCACAGTAAGGTTAAAAAAGAGACGGAACGACTCTCTCGTTCCCGTACGTGACAGCGCCCCGGTGACCTTTGCAGATAAAAATAATTTTAAGCATACTACGGTTGTATTTTAACTTTCTCCAAAAAAATGGGATTTTTCTGAATTTAAAGCCTTCTTATGTCCCCTGGTAAGGGAGAAAGAAACGGCCAGCTTACCTTTAAAATGATGCTAACATAATAATCGCGATTATGCGCGACGGCCTTGGCGATCCATCCCGCCAGCGTCGGTAAGTCAAGCGGCGACCGATCGCGAACCACGGTCTGCTCAAAGAGATCAAACAGCTGCATCTCCATGTCTTCCTGCGAGCAGACGCTGAAGACGTGCTGCGTGATGGTGATCGGTTTGCTGCAGAAGATACGGCACTGCTTCCACACTATTCTGCCGCACGCATATTCCAAGGCTACATATGCTGCGTGGTGCATGATAATATGGGCGCTCGAATTCTCATCGCCAAAATCACAATCATAGAACACTAGCGTCGGCAGCAGGCGGTCGGTGCTGAAGACGTATCTCATCGGCTGGGCAATGTCGCGGCTATCATCGGCGCACACCTGCATGACCACGGCCATTTTGGTGGCCGGCATCAGGCATTTCAGCAAACAGGCCAGCACCCAGTACTTGGCGCAATCGTCCAGTTGCACGTCGCCGTAGTACCCATCTTTTCCCGATACGCGCACATCGGGAAAGCGCGATGCCGTGGTGAGAAGGCTGTTCCACATGTGGCACACACGACGACAGCGGAGCCGCTCGATAGAATCCAGCGCCTGGAAGATCTCCACCAGCAGCTCCGCGGGCAAGGGCAAAGATTCCCCGCCCACCTTCCGCTGCTTCCTGGGCGGGCTGGAGCTGGGCTCGCTTTGCCGCAGCATAGGCGACGGTGGCAGTGGTCGAGCGCAGCCACAGTTGTACAGCTCCTCCTGCAAGAATGCATAATGTGAACCCCAAAATACGTTGTAAGATCCCTGCACTTTTCTGGCCTCATTTATGTGGGCCATGATCAGAGCGGGCCATGAAAGAATTTTTGCGAATACCTCACGGAACCGTCTCCCTGGTATCAACAACCCTAGATTATACTTACAGCTTCGGCAAACCTCGCTCAGATCCCCAAGGACAGCCGTACTTGATGGATGGCTGACTCTGTGACATAGTATTATTATTTACCTACTACCTCGGTACCACCTTGAATATTTACTCGCAGTACTCCTTGAATATATTCAAGGATGATGGTGAGAAAATGCTTCGACCTGAAAATTGACCTAATATTTTTGTGCGAGAATGGCCTGAATGGGTGTACTTGTTTAACGTTGTTTAATTGTAGTTACTACAATGTAATGTTCAGTGTAGTTGTAACTTGAATGTATCCCATATTGTCATATTTCCTCTGTCTTAGCTTATAAGGAGGCGCTGCCTTGTAGCGAAGGACAACAAACTAAATTATATTGTATCTGCAATGTTCTTAACATCTTCTTTCCCTATTTCATCAATCCACTTATGGCGTCCACAATAATTTAGTGACCCTGTGCGATTTGAAAAAAAAACAACTAGCAAAAACGTACCAGTTTTGCAGGCGTTAGCGGAGTATTTTCTGGCTGTTGCAGATAGAGGACTGCCTGGCTGAGCACGGCGCACAACGAGGTGGATGGATGTCGACTCAATTCCTGCTGGAAGATCTGCCCGAGCCAGTGCGGAGCCTGGGACCAGCAGACGGCCGGCAGCGGGCAACAACGCACGACGAAGTCGCCCTTCGTTACGCTCGGCCGCGGTGATTCCGCCGTCGCCACCTCGCGGATTTGCAAGCAGGGGACCAGCTCGATCACGCTGCCGTGTGGCAGCTGCACCTCCATGAATTCCGCTGCGTCGTAGGCATGGCCGCGGGATTCCGTAGACGCAACTCGTGCGGGATACCACGTCCAGGAGTCGGTGGGATGGTACCGCAGCAGTACCTCCGCACCGCCCGCCCCCTGCCCCGGTTTGGTGACCCACAGGTCGTAGGTGTCGCAGAAGCAATGGAAGATGCGCCCGTACTCGATGAACTGCGAGCGCCGTGTGGTGCACTCAAAGTCAATAACCAGACCGCCATCGGCCGCGTTGATCACGACGCCGCGTTGGAGCCGGCCATCAACGAGGACATCCACGGCGTTCCACTCGAACACATAGTCTCTCAACACCAGCATTGCCTGCGCTTTCACGCACAGTTAGCGTTGGCGGGGACTTGGTACCTGTATCACTTCGCTAGTGGGATGCGCGCTTTCCGATCGCAAGACTACGCGCGCAACTATGTACAGAGTAGAGTCAGTACGAGAGAGATCTCCAGAGATGTAGGTATTGAGTACTTGAAAACCTAAACACGTTAACTCAATCTGACAATCGCAGACCTAAACACGTTAACTCAATCTGACAATGTTGATTTCTTCAACCGAAACTGATTCTTGATATTGTTATCGCGTTGTTGGAAATAAAGTAATTAGAGCAATAAAAAAAAAATAAAAAAAATCGCAGACTCCCAGAGCAGCCAAACACTGAAATAATTATATCACTGTCTTAGAAGGGCGGACGCCTGCGACAGGAGAACATTGCTGATTTTACAAATTGAATTTAAATATGAATTTCTGAATTACAGAAAATACTGAAGAAAATCTGCCGATGAGCGTCTGTAGCCGTGCGTCTTACCACTAATCTGCACCGGCGTGCATTATTATTAAATTTTCTTCTTAAGATTTTAGCGCACTATGCCACTGCCTATCAATTTGCCATAAAACTAAGTTGATTTCATCTTATGAGGATTTCTGACATTTCCGGAAAGCAATACAGAAGATAGCCGTCACTGTGGGCGGAAGCCAATACTCTGACTGCACTACATTCCGCACCTTCGCGGTTAGCAGGAGGAACAGCAGCATAATTCTGACACCAGCGAACGATATAACGGTATAAATGATACTGTTTTGCGGTCATTACGCAACGCCGGCATTGAATCTTACCCAAAGCCTGTTAGCTTTGACCGCAGAGGCGGTAAGCGATCGGACGGAGCGACACGGTGGAAGTGGTTTCGCCGATTGCCGTTGGTGTGGGATGTCACGTGTCGCGACTCGCGATGCCTTGTGCGATTCTTTTATGGAAACGACTTCAAAAAAGGCTGGCGCGGCAGCCGAACAAGCGTTTGTAGACTGTAGTAAAGAACAAGAAAAATGAGTCTTTTGGTGATAGTTGTTATTTTGTGCCGTTGGCTTGTGAAACTTTTGGTGTTTGGTGCAACGCGTCAGTTAATCTGTTGAAGGAAATCGGCAAGAAACTGATAATTGAATTGGACAAAGCCGCTTTTTGTTTTCTTTTTCAACGTTTAAATCTCGAGATTCAGCGCAGTAATGCTTACTCCAGTATGCTGGGAACTGTTTCATCTCACGTTAACTGGGACGGATTCATCATCTAGATCGTGTGAACGCTAGGCGTTGCCTTTTGTCAAACATACTGATTAAAGTTACTACGTAGTATTCTGCCATCCCGAGGTAGTGTTGGATCGACTCGCGCGCTATGAGTAATCTATTGAGTACTGAGGCCGACGCGGGACTGAAAGCCTCCGCATGCTGAAATTCGTCTTTTTTGTTGGTTTCAGGATCAAAAAATTAAAGATTATGCAGCTGGAGAGCTCGGCGATTCTTTGCAAAAGTCTGACGCTCACCTTCTTTATTTGTGGATGGAATTTCCAAAATCGTTGTACATTACCAATCTTTCCGTCAACTGCTATTTGCGGTTTGAGTTCTTTACAATCTACCTGGCGCTCAGGCTGAAACAGTTACTGGAAACTCGCGTATTACACAAGTAACATAGAACAACTGTCAACAACAATCCTTGACATCATGCCGTTTAACTAATTTGAACAAAATACAAATCTTCCTTCTCCACCATGTCACTAAAAGTACCGAGAACAGATACTGCATTTCCTCGCTACATCTCGATACCTATTCTCTGACACAAAAACTCCCCTGAGCGAGGGTTGCCTGTACAGTCGCAGATCTTTCTCGACAAATCCTTAAAGAACTTCTTCGTCAGCGGTCCAAATGTTCCCGTAGTTTCGAACGCCAGCGGTTGAACAATGTAGCGATCTGCCAGTCCGCTGTACTTTCCTAACTTCCGATTTTCCCGTATTTCCGCTTCACTTCCCGGCACCCGGGACGTCTGACCGATGTAAGTTTGGGCAAATGTGTCTGCCACGGTAACATCCCACACTAGCGGCTTTCCATTCTTCCATGGGAAACCTGTCACTCCGTCGGGCCGCTTTCCATCGCCTCTGTCGAAGCCCACCGGCTCGAGTGACGAAGGCACTTTTGCCGAACTTAAAGTCCGCTTGGTTGCTTCATTCAAGACGGCGTGGACACCCAGCCTTCCTTTCGCCAGCTTGCAAACCAGACCATGGTGTCCGAGACTGTCCATGGTACTGCCGCACCGACACACATGCTTCTGAAATACTGGAGCTCCCAGCGGGCGCGCTGCGGCAATTCGTAAGTGGGCATCCTCCAGTAAATTTCCAAATATTGTTACCGGCAAAGCAGACAACCAGGTACGCGATTCCGGTGAAAATGCAGCCAACAAGCGAGCAGAGGTAAATACGTCGGCATTCTCCATCATGCGGGATGCTGTCGGGGTATGTTGCAGTGCTGTCCAGACCGACTGGAGGTGTCGGCTTTACATCCGCGGGGGTTCCAGGGAATAACGTCCACTCCACACTTCCGTTAGCTGATTGGTCCTTTCTTTTACACAGACGTTGCCCGTAATGCTGCACACCATGTCGGCCGCTCCGTGAACCGATGCGGCATAGGCAGCTAGCGCGACGTCCGCTGCACAGATCAGTCCCAGGCATCCAAATTTTGTAGGTAGCGAGGCTTGTGACCAGACTGAGCTGACCATTGCCACATTGGTCAGCTGTTCTGTTTTCGAACGGATGACTTCATCAAATTTCTTCAATTCTTCCGGTTACTGGAAAACGTACGCCGAATATTGACTGTTGTTTTGAAACAGTGTTTCATCGCAAAACATAATTTTTGTATCCTTATTTTCCATTTATGTCTTTATGTGATAATAAGTAGGGAACTGCACCGATGGTTCACTGGCAGACCGGAGCGCAGCGCTTACAGATGAACCAATACACTACTACACAAGTTACTTTTAGCCTTTGACATAATATTCCATGAATAAACGGAAAATAAATTATGGAAATCAGTTCAAATCTTAACTTTGTCTTGTGTGTGCCTGACGGTGCGCCGTCAACAGGCACAGCGGGTGCGAGACGCTGCAAAATGCAGCACAACTGCCACGACTATTCTTGGGTTAGCGTTTTTGCGCACTGGGCAATACTCCTAGGACATGGGATTCCTCCGGTGTACATTGCGCGATTCTGACCTTTCGAATGGCGTGCAAGCTGTTTGGCACGATTGTGCATGATACTATTAGCAATGTTTGGTCGAGGACTCAAGGGTAAACGACGAGGGTAAACATTATTGCAGTTCTTTATGTATTGCAAAGCATTGCTAAACCGCAATGCTTTAACCCATATTCTCTTGGGATTCACACCGGCACGAAGAGTAATCAAGGTCACGCGTCAATCATCGAATGCGGTGAATGTGCTCTGGATGCGGTGCAAGAACGTGATTTTCTTTCCGCAGAAAAACGAGATTATCCTCCGCAAATAGAATCCGCAAATATAATCCTAGACTAACACATTAAAATCTGTTTACTGGAAATGAATGCAGTGTAACAAATGCATTTTTGTACGATCGACTGCGTTCACCAGAAAACTGTTCGTTCGGGGTATAACATAGAACCGACTGCATACACTGTAATACCACAGAGAAGATCTGCGGACATAGAGCGTTGCCTTTGATTCTACAAAATTATTATTAGCGAAGCCGACTATTTGCTTCTTATTTTCGTGCCGCAGCGTGGTGATTTGAATTTGAAAACAAGCATGAACGCGTCAATAAATTCTACGGTCGAAATCAGCCCCAATGCGCTGACAGGCTGGTTTATCGCCGTGACCCTGGTGGCCTTCTTGACGTCGCTCTTAATAATTCTCCTGATTATTGCCATACTCTACCGGCACGCGAGACCATCGGAATCCCATATTCAGATCATCCACTTACTGTGCATTGATCTGGTCGTCACGGCCGTCCTGGGCCAAACGACAGCGACGACCATGTACTTCCCCATGGCAAGGATGCCCTTAACCCACTGCCGCAATTTCTACCTGGCATACCCGCTGTTCGCCGGCAGCGGACACTGGGCCGCCTTTATGCTGTCCATCAACCGAACGATTGCCGTTGTTTTTCCTCATTACTACCCGAAAATAAACAAACGCAGCGTGACGGTCGCGACGATGCTGATTGGCTGGGTGGTTCTAATTGCGTGTTCGCTGCCCATCGCGGTGGGCACCGCTACGGGCAGCGGCTGGGCCGTCACGCTCGTTCCCCCGTGGAATATCTGCGCCATTCATCCGACGACACCGGCCACCTTGAAAGTCCTACAAACGCGAACCATCCTGAGCATGCATGTACCGATATCTGGGACGATTTTTTCTTACGCTGTGATTTTAGTTTCGCAGCTCCGCATAAAGTTCCGCCGCGATGTCGCTGTCGATCGGGCGATGCAGGCGACACTGCAGCGCCGTATTTTAATTGGCAAGATGCTTTGTGCGTCCCAGTTGTGGGATTTATTCTGCTATTTACCGCAGATTGTCGTGGCGACCGCTTATCCTTATGTTTTTCTCAAAAATCCGCCGTTGAACTTGCTGATGTGGGCGTTGTATTCGTGTGGCGATCTGGGAACACCGGTAAGAACGTTCTCGGCTGAAACAAGTCTTCGGAGTTGACAAATTCCATTTCTCTGACGCAGAATGCTGCGGGAAAACCGAATCTGCAGTTATTCTTGAGAAACAAAGTTTTTTAGGGTTCGAAAAAAGTGCACTACAGTTTTTGCCGGTATATACTAACTGTGGGACAATTTTTGCTCCAAGATGCCAAATCTCAAAACAGATTGAATACCACTTTTCTGACGTAGAAGAGAAATGTTCTGTTTTACACTTAGGTGATCTTCTTTCTGATTGGAACTGAGTATCGGACTGCATTAAAGGATTTTTATCGTAAGGTATTGCGTCGGGGGAATCCACTGGTGTCGCCTGGCCATGACTCACAGCCAGGAACGAGTGCCACCCAAAAAACAGAACAATCTACCGAAACTCAGCACGTATCCGCTCCTTCATACAATATGAAGTCACTCTCTTCTACCGGGCGTATTTCCCATAAGTAACGATTTCTTAAACCTTCAGTGCCGGCTAGTCGAAGAAAAATGGACAAAAAACCGCTCTACTCTGTAGCTGTCTGCGGATGTGAGCTGAAAAGCTTCTTGGGATTTTCATTTACAGTACGTTTCCTTATGT